GCTACCAATATCAGCTAACAACCAGAGTCGCCTGCTGGTTTGACTTTTGTTTGGCTTCTAAGAGCAACTGATAACTGTTCTAAATGAGTTTATCCAGCGTAGGGTAATAAACGAACTCTCCGTCTCCCCAGGAAGTTCCTGACCTCACTGCTCTGTTCTCCAACATATTGCTTCTTCTTCTGTTCTTGGGTATTTTCTTCCTTCCTTCATTTCCCCTGAGAGTAGAACCATCTACGGTGGTCACTGCTTACATCTCCTCCAAACACACCAATCTTCATATACAGAAAAAAGGCGCAAGGCTAACAAGTTTGTCCCTTCTCAGCTACTGTACTCATGAAGATGCAACATGGCGTCTTTCATTGGACGCACCACCTACTAAATTTGTCATTTTTTGGGCAATTTTCTTCTTTTTATGTGTTGGTATCTTTATAAGCAGACATTACTTCATTCATGGATTGCTCACTGATGGCAGGAATTGGTTTATCTAAAAATAAAAAGCTGTTTTTTAAAGATACGTATCTGGAAGTAAAGACAGAGTCTGTCAGAAAGAAAAGGCAAATCAGATGTTTGTGTTTATTACTAAAATATGAAGAAAAATGCCAGTTTTTGCACAATAAAATATTATTTTAGTTCAATTAAAACTGAAATTCCAGCATTATAAAATACAGAACTGATTGAAATATTTTTTACTATTTTACATCATATATTTTAGTAATCCTGATTTTCATGCATAGAATAAAGTATGTATGGAAGCCTAGAGAGGTCATACTCAACTTTTTTTTCCCTTTGCCTTCTTGAGATAATGACATAACTATCTCGTTATCACGGTTAAACCATTAATTGTTTTTACAAGATAACGAGATAATTATGTCGTTATCAAGAGAAAACAGTGATTGATTTCCTGACATAACGAGCGGATAAACCTGACTGAGAAATGAATGAGGCTGGCCATCAGCCCTGGATTCCCAGTCCATCCATGCCTGTGGATGGACTGGAACACCCGGTACCGAGTGTGCAGTAAAATCTGACTGTTTTTAATGAAAATCTTTAATCTGGACTCATTTTGGGTGTTAATGCATCTTCTAGCTGTTCCAGGCGGAACACCGGAGCTGTTATTATTATTTTAGGTTATTTTAGGATTATTTAAAGAATTACACACAGGCTGCCATGACTTCTAAATCCTCTCTGTTGAAAGATGGAATCAGTTTTAAAACCAATCATCTGGTTATCATAAGAAAAAAACTTTCGTTATCTTTAGATAATGATAAAAATGAACGTATTTTCTTCAGAAACCACCATGAAAAAGTATCAGAGGAACACGACCGCTCTGGGCTTCCTTAAGTATGAATTAAGAATCTGCACCCAATAGATTTTTTTCTTTATTTATTTTCTTTGCCACTCAGAGGAACATCTCTGAAGTTAATACATTAAAAGCATAACCTGAATATATTTAGGAGGAACCTCTTCTATTCTGCTTCATTAAGCAGCAGAAATCTTCCCTGGTTTCTCAGGTTAGGTCACCCTGATGTCCAAACTCTGTAAAAAACTGCTTTTCCAGATAAAGAGGCTCAGACATCATCTGGATACTTGTCTTAAAAACATTTTAAAGTAACCAGAAAGTATTCAGAGTTAACAGAAGTGCAGCAGATTTGAATGAATGTGAGTTCTGTCATCTTTATTCGCTGCTGATCACAGAAGCTCCAAAACAAACTCCAGAATGTTTAAATGATGCACCGACACGACCACACCAGTCCAGGCTCACCTTGCTCCTTTAAAATTAGGAGCTACACTCTTCATTTCCATTCGTTACAAAAACCTTCAGCTCCTTTGAACGCATCTTTGCTTGTGAAAGAAACAGCTTCAAACATTATTTCAGCTCCTTGGTTTAATTCACAGCTTCTTTGTGACATCGCTGCCTAATGGGATCCAATTAGTTTGCCAGACGGCACTGGTTTGCAAGTTTGGAAGTCCGTCAACAAAAACAAAGCAAAAAAAAAAACGACCTTCTTTATTTGTTATTTATGAGGCATATTTTAGTCCAATATAAAAGGATGTACTTTAAGCTTAAGCCAAAAAAAAGCAAATTACAAGTTCAACTTCAAAAAGAAATAAACTGGTTTAGGAATATTACAAGACCAGTGAGTTCAAAAGATAAATTATAGTGCAGTTTAAGCAAGGATTAGGTCACGTTTTGGTGTAAAGAAAACTATTTGCTGTGGTGGAAGAAGCTTTTATCACATTTAAGGGGAAATTCCCCTGAATTTGTTAGCAAGTGTTGCACAATACCAACAATAAGTCGACTAAAAGAAGCTTAAATGTTTTAAAGTTGTTTCATCGGAGCGTTCAGCAGGTCAAGGCAGCAGAATAAAGAAAAGACGCCTAAAGAAAATGAACATCTGGATGTTTATGAAGACCTGCTTCCAGTTTGAGGTCAACTTTGATTCTTTGCAAAGAGGGAAAAAGTTTGCATGAAACAAACGCTGAAAATTGTAGAACTGAAACAAAAACAGAAAGAAAAAGACATCAGTTTTAAAAAGAGCTGTTATAAAAAATATATATATTATATCCGACACAATTAGAATCATTTCTAAACAGAAAAAAATTATAGTTTGTAGTTAAAGGACAAAGGAACTGATTTTTTTTTTTCTATTCTTAAATTTGCATAACTTTGTGGCCTTTGGTTATAAATTCAGAGTTATAAGTTTAGCCAAGGTTCCTAAAGTTGCATTTGAATAAATCTCTTTTTTTCCTCTAAGTATATTAAATAAATGATATTAAAGTGTTTCTTAATGGTTTTATAGGTGACCTCTTTATAATCTCTAGACATTAATGTTATGGATTCTCCTTTACATCACTGACATCTGCACCTCAGACACCAGCCAAGCACGGAGGTGGAGGTGTAGTACTTAGGGCTTGTTTCACATCCAGAGAACTTGTGGAGATTAGTAAACCATTATCTTCTGTTTATTTAAATATTTCAGAGTCAAAAATGAGACTTTCTTTCTAAAGGTGAAATAATGTCCCAAACCGGATTATCTAGAGAATAATAATCCCTAATCCAGCTGCAGACGTTCAGCAGATGTCCAGTTCTTTAGTGGATAAAAAAAAGACTTAGAACCATAAAGGAGCATCCATAACATCGATGTCTATGAACCTCAGTGAACGGGAGCCATTATAAACAGGTGACGTATAAAACCACACAGTAAACAGCTACTTTAATGTCTTTTTATTATATAATAAGCATTTCTACTCATAGCATAATCCTAAAAATAAGATCAGATTAACAGTTGGATTGTTGGAAATGAGCTTCTCTTGTTTGAGTCCAGTTTCCTGATCATATTCACTGAAATAACCTGCTTGCTTCCAGGTTAGCACTCTGCTGCTTAACAGCAAATTTATTCTGGCTTAATTGGGCGAGTTTCTGTCAGCAGGAGTTCAGTCCTTGGCAAAGAAGTAAAAAGCATAAATGCTTGTTTTTGTGTTTCACCTCATTTTCAACCTAGTCTGTCTTTTTCTTTCTGAAGCACCAGCCCTGCACATAAGTACTATCTGGCCATGGACCCGGTGGGCGAGGTCCTCTACGTGTCTGACACAAGCAGCCGCAGGGTGTACAGAGTGAGGAATCTCGGGCAGCCCAAGGATCCAGCACGCAACCTTGAAGTAGTGGCGGGGACGGGGGAGCAATGCCTGCCGTTTGACCAGAGCCACTGTGGGGAGGGCAGAAAGGCCACGGAAGCTGCGCTCAGCAACCCTCGAGGTAAGGATGATACGCTCCGTGCAGCCCAGGAACTCTCTCTCTCTCTCTCTCTCTCTCTCTGCACGCTGCTGCCATCAGCATCAGTTACATTTATCGTCCCTCCAGGAAACTCTTATAGATTTGTGATCAAAGTTTAGTATTTGCTAATATTAGGAACACCTGGCTGGAGGGCAAAGCATCGGCTAACTCACTGAAGGTCGCTGCAGACGTCCTATAGCAACTATAGCAACTCATTACATAAGTGGTTTGGGGGAGTTTCACCCCCCCTCCCAACCTTCTCATTTTGGGCAAAGTGCAAAGTCGATACAGGACACTTAGAAATCTGCAGCAATGAGATCATAAAAATGGCTAACCTTGGAACCATCAGAGATGCTTTGAAGCTTTTACTCTTAAAGGTAGAAAATGTGTGATGAAGGAAAGCTGCAGGCTGTTATCTGTTCATGACGGCTGATTAATGCTGGGATAGCTGAGCACACAGCTTTATTTCCTCATATATCAGCCTGACTTAATCACAGACCTGAGACAGTGGATGTGACAGTGTTTAGATATGAGTTGGATCCCTCTTGCATCATTTCATTCTGTTGCTTATTGGGGGTTTTATTTGAGTAGGAAGTGATTTATACTCTGATTTCTTTGAGTTTCAACCTGTTGTTTTGAACAAAGCTTGTGTTTCGTTGTCATTAAGGTGCGTACCTCTAAATTATTGGTGCAAATGTGTGAGTTCTTTATTTTTCAACCTTTTGAATCAGTAGCGTCTGGAAACATAAAATGGATGCTGTGGAAATGTTGTCGTCCTTTTTCCGTCTCACATCTGCACAGAATCACCGTCCCTCACATTACAGCAATACTTTCCAAAAGGTCTCGCATATTTTATCTGATCATTTTTCAATGCATATAATTTGGTTTTTGTGTCATTCCTTGATTTTGAAGTTAAAAGATATTGATACATGAAAAAAAAGCCAACAGGGATTTTAGTCAGAGGCACCAAAAACAGTCGTGGGAATTTTGGACACATTAGCAGCGCGGCTGATAAATAATCATCATGTGGAAAAAGGTGAATGTAGATCAAACTAAAGCTTAGCTTCAGTGGCTAACGTGGCAGAAAGCTAACGCTGCAAATCCGTCTCCTCACTTCATCCTGACTCTTTTCTGAAGTGGGACAAGCTGCTCAAAGTTGATGCAAAGATTTTATCCTGAGAAGCAAAGTCGCTAGAAGCTCATAAATAATTTTGAGACGGAGGCCGAGGAAAACGACCCAAAAACACAAAGAGCATAAAACCAGAGATCAGATAAAATAGTTTCAATCAGAAACACATTTTTTATTTTCCATCTTCACTGTTAAGAACGTTTATGTAAACAGGAATAACTGAGGAGTTCATCAGCTTAAGCACATTTAATGAGATCTATAAAAACACTTTATATCTACAATAAAGCTAAAGGTAAAAGGACTTAATGCCAAACATCCAACCAGCCTGCTGGGGGAAAACAGTTGATGCTTCCAGGTGGCTTCAGGGGGCTAACAGGGATAATAATTAGATAAAAACATATATGCATATTCTGCACCTGAAATATGAATATTAACAAAGTATTAAACTTAAAGAGACCTTAAAACTCTGAGTGATTTTTATGGGAGAGTTTGCAGAATTCAGCTTCATCATTAGTCTTAAAAAGAGAAGAAAAGACATTTAGCTGCATTTAAAGGTGATTCTCCAAATTATTAATAATAATTCCTTATGAGATTTATTGACATTTTAGTTATTAATTTTCTTCCTTTATCACGATACTACCCTGAGTTGATCCATTAAATAAAATCCCAATGAAACGGCGTCATAGTTCAGCTTCCATGACAAGAAAAGCGGTGTGAATACTTTGCAGGTAAACTGGTTCTTCTGCAGGGATTTTCATATCCTGTTAAAACTGTAAACCTGTTTTCATGCGTTCGATCTTCGACACGCTGAGCTTAGCAGGCGGTTTATCAGGGGAACAAACCAAGCTCCGCCTTTTCTCTGCTTTCATGCACTTTTACTGGAACAACAGGAAGACATGGATGATTAAAGATTTTTATTTATTTTTATTTATGTGCAAATCATTAATCAGTGAGAACCAGAGAATAAATGCTGTTTTTAAACCAATATAATTCAGATTAAGTTTGATGTTGAAAGGAATGATGTTGGATTGTAGGAATGTTTCCTGGGAGGTAAAAGCTCCACAGCCTTCCTTCACCACTGATTGGGAAGTTATATTTTCACTAATTTCACCAATCACTCCAAGCTTTGTTACTCGTTGAAATTATAAAAGCAATTGTGCTTCTAGAAGAAGAATGGGGGGGGGAGCGGTCCATCCTGGGGCATTAAAATGATGCTTAATTGGTTCAAGGATTCGACTGTGAGCTCCCAGAAAAACACCCCATCATGTTCACAGCGGGCTGGAAAAGATTGATGGGTTCATGCTGCTCGTACCCTTTGCTCTACCCGCCGTCAGGATTAGAAAAACAGAAACTAATTTAACCTGGAAACTCATGTTCTCACTCCATAATCATTTAATTTTGGTTATTATTGCAGATATTCAAGTTAATTCAATTCTATTCAGTTTATTTCTATAACTTCAATTCACATCCTGTCATCTCAGGTCACTTTATAGATCCAGATCAACCAGATCAT